CGGCCGCCGCTGCTGCTGACAAGCCCGCGCCTGCCCTGGGCATGGGGCGTCGGGCAGCGCGCACCCGCCTCGCTCCTCCCTGCTGCGCCGGGCGCGTTCTGCTCCCCATGGAAGTTGGCTGCAAGGACTGAAACCGAGAGGCTGAATCACCGCGTTCGCCCCGGGTGAGGGAAGGGAAGGAAGGGGGCGGTGGGGAGGCTGCCAGCACCCTGCCCTGCCCTGGAGCTCCCATTTACCAGGGCTTTCCCAGGGCTGCCCTCCCTGGTCCGGACTGGGCCCTGGGACGGGGGACGGGGCTGAGCCCCCAGACCCGCAGGCAGGGCTCGGGGCTCGGGGCAGAGCTAAGGGGAGGCAGCGCTGGCGGTGGGAGCAACCTGTTGGACCCCTGTGCAAGGCAGGGCTGTGCTGTCCCTTGGGAGGAGCGGGGTTTGTCACCGATGGGTCACTGCCACCCTTGGGAGGGGAGTGCCAGCCCAGCTGGGTGCGGCTGGCGGCGTTCGCGCCCGGATCAGCGGGAAGCGCTCAACCCAGCGCGCTGGCGTCGCGGCCCAGGGGGCCAAAGGCTTGTTTATCTTCCCAACAAGCCAGGCGAGGGTGGCACAGGGCCCACGGGGCCTCCGCCCTGCTCCGACGCGCGCCTGGGCACGGCGTCCCCTCGCCAGCCCCAAACTCACGTTGGGGCACATGGCTCTTTGTTCCCACTCCTCTGCCAGTGCCGGGCAAAGCCCCTTGCAGCCCCAGGACGGGGTCCTGGCGTCCCCTCGCTGCTCCCACCGCAGCTGCTGGGTGCAGGGGTGCCGGCTGGTCTGGCACTCCCGCAGCGCCGAGCAGGAGTAGCGGCTCTGCAAGCGGCAGCGTGACCCCAGCCGTGGCCGGGGCTGCGAGCGTGGCCACCGTCCCCCGTGGCGTGCCGGGCCGGCAGAGCCAGGCTGCGGGGAGGCACCAGGGGTGCAGCAGTGGATGCAGGGGCACGAGGAGGGATACGGAGGTGGGATGCAGGGGGGCAAGCCTGCAGGACTCCGTGGGTTAACGCCATGAGGGCAGCACTACGCTTCCCTGACTCCTCTGACCTTGACCAAGAAGGAACGTAAGTGAGTTTATTTGGCCATCTCAGCTGTGCCGTGCCCTGCCGTGCCGTGCCATACTGTGCCGTACCACGCCGTGCTGTGTTCCTTTCCTCCTCATGCTGGGAGGGCTCTCGCCGTGCTTTGCATCCCCTGCTCTGCACACAGCGATGCAATCCCGCTTTCTTGCAGGGGTGTTTGAAGCTCCGTCTCTCGCCTCCCTCCAGAGCTGTGATTCCCCGACTGAGTCAGCGCCTGCAGCCAGATGCGGCAGAGGCCTGCGCAGGGGCTGATGGCGAGGGTGCGGGATGTGTTCCCTTGCCCCCATCCCCAAACCTGGGGAGCAGGAGGCCCGGGGATCCCCGCTGTGGGCTGGGACGTGCCCTGGCGCTGGGCGCTCATTGGTGACTCGGGTGCTGGGTAACGAAGGCTTCGCCCAGGGCCGACGGGGAGTGGGTGAGCTGGGACGCGGCGGCAGCACCTGCAGCACCCGGCTGGACCAGTCTGGCCAGGGACGGCAGTGACGCAGGCTGCCGGCAGCCGCCCCGGGGCCTTCCCCGCCCCCCTTTG